CACAGGAACAGACAATCAAGAGATAGATAGATAGATGCTGCTAGCAATGCAGCGGCGGGGGAGAGAAAGGTAGAGAGAAAAAAGATAAAGAGATAAACACACAGAGAATGAGAGACAGAGACAGAGAGAGAGAGAGATAGAGGTACGATAGAGACACAGAGACACACGCCAACGGCACCGGGGCGGAAAGCCAGAGGAGACAGCAAGGGAGAGAACTGGCGAGCAAAGGAGACAGAAGGAGACAGCACCGAAGGAGAGACAGATACAAGCAGCAGAACAGCAGGCGATAAATAACACCCCAGGAGAGAAGAGAAAGCGGGGAGAGAGGAGACAGTGCAAGAGGTGAGGATACACCGCACACAGTGAGGAGACACCGGGAGGGTGAGGAGACACTGNAGGAGACAGTGCAAGAGGTGAGGATACACCGCACACAGTGAGGAGACACCGGGAGGGTGAGGAGACACTGGAGGAGGTGAGGAGACACCAGAAAAGGAGAGAAGACACAGTAAGAGAGGGAGAGCAGCTGCTGCCTCACCGCCGGCCAGTTTTGTCTTAGTCTCTTTACTAGGGTCCCCTTCCCGACCCCACTTGGCCCCGCAATGACGAGCAGCTGCGGCTCGACATCAAGGGGAGCAATAGGCTGCGGAGACTGCCATTGAGAGGGGGAGCTGGAGCTGCCTTGGGGGCTAGCTGAGGGGGCCGAGGTGTCTGAGGCCGCCAATGCTTCAGAGGCCGCAGGCACAGAGGGGCAGCACTTGGGCTCCGCGGTACAGCCACTATCTGGCTCCCCCATTCTCCTTGGCTCAGCAGCAACTGAGCAGCTGAGACGTAAGAAGAAGAAATACTGATCGAGCAGGACACCAGGAAACGAGAAAAGAAGGCAGCTGCTCCTCTTAGTGATGATGCTGATGCTGTTTGTGTTGTTTCTACTGCTGATCTTGCTAATGTTGTTGTTGTAGATGTTCTTTATGTTGTTGTTGTTGCTGCTGTTGCTGCGGTTGTTGCTGCTAGCGCTGAGGATACCCCGGCTGCCTAGGCTTGTGCTGTGCCTACTGAGGGTACGCGAACACAAGGAGGATCTGCGGTAAGAAACAGAAACAAAGTGAAGGCTCATACTATAAACATATAGTAAACTCATATACTTTAACTGCAGAAGGAGAGGCAAAACNCAAAGTGAAGGCTCATACTATAAACATATAGTAAACTCATATACTTTAACTGCAGAAGGAGAGGCAAAACGCAGCAACATGTACTCCCCACCAAGCTATACAAATACAGGACCTCAACGTATGTATACCCGGAGCCTCGGCCTCACGCTGCTGCTGCTGCTGCTGCTGCGGCTGTTTGTCGCAGCTGTTTGTTGCAGCGTGTAGTTGTGGGTATTACGTTGTAGATTCCTTTATTAAATTATTTTTCTGAGACAGAAAAAGCTTCAGGGGAATCAGGCACACAGCAGAAACCCTTGGCCCCCCTTCTATTGCCTTTCTTATTCCCCCATACTTGGGGCTCAGGCCCCGCCGTGCACCAGGAAGACAGCCGAGGCTGCCGAGGCCGAAGTCGGTGACGGCTAGGCTTGAACTTGTAAAGGATGTTTACTCTATGGTTTTTAATTTCGTTATATTCTTTTTTCTTTTTCTTTGGCTGGTTGAATTGTCACTGGCTTTCGTTCTACCGACCCCATTCCCTATCAGGAGCTCTCCTGGACTCTCTGTAGGGCCATACACACGTCAGCGTCTCTCGACGAGCGAAAGCCGAGGATTTTGTACTGCTGGCACAGAGGAAGCTTGGTGCTCCGGGGTGTCTGTACAGCTGGAACAAGGGGGAGAGACGGGCTCTGAAGCAATGGAGGACGTTAACGTGTATGCGGACGGAGCTTGTCTGCGCAACGGTCAGTCGTCTGCGCGTGCTGGTATGGGGGTGTACTTTGGTGCATCTGATCCTAGGAATGTTTCTAAACCTTTGCCGTGTGGCCCCGCGACGAACCAGCGTGCAGAGTTGGCTTCAATATTAGCAGCTCTGGTGCGGTACGAGGCGGCGGACAATGCGGCTGCCGCACGTAGGTCGGCGCGAGGAGCTCAAGGACCCTCGGATGAGGTCCGTCTGGTGGTGCATAGTGACAGTGAATATGCTGTGAACTGTGTGGGCCAGTGGGGTGACCGCTGGACCCGCAACGGCTGGGCCAGCTCATCGGGTCGGCCTGCAAAGAATGCAGACTTAGTGCAAGCGGTTCGTCAGTTTTGCGAGCAGCGGCGATACACCGCCCCCAAGGGCGCCAGCTGGAAGGGGGCGGTGA